GAGCTTTCGAAGATGGAGCTTTCGATGATGGAGCTTTCGAAGAACCGTCTTTTCATGATGTCCATACTGATCAGTGATAAGGAACAAAATGCAATCTGTGTTCGAGGATGAAATGGGTGCTCGATACATGCCATTGCCATTTTATGAATAAAATAAAACGTTCCGCTGGTGGATCGCAATCAGCTATTAGTTGTTTTGTTTGTTTTGACGATTTAAAAAGGCTCAATGAGACGGAAATGAATCTGTAGTGATAAATCAATTACAAACAAACTCATTTTCTTTTCTGCACTGTACTGTCGCTTTATCACCCACAGGAAATTGATAATGAAATCGCAAATAATTGACTTTGAGAGGCCGTAATGTGGAGTTACGTGTAATTTTGAACTTAAAGCCAGCTTCCTCCATCCTGCTAGTGAAAGATAATAATGATGTATGAATATCCGGTCCCATCAGTATTGCCCATTCCTGCTTCTAATTACTAAGATCAACTTTTCTTTCTGTACCAATTATTATTACGGATGTTAGTATCAAGCATTTTGTCATTTTTATTTTGTGATGAAAGAAGAATAAGAAAAAATAATAAAATCTATTATCACTAAAGTCTGGACGGGGAATCGAACTACCATTTTTTGTCGTATCAAAGAGTGCCATATATTGAACAATTACAAAATAATAATGTTAACTGAAGAGTTTTACGTTCCTCAAGTTCCCATGTTAATAAATGACGACAGAATAATAGAATAATAATAAGTAAGACTGCGTTTGAAAACATTAATTATCATTATGGTATTCGTATGATTATTTAGCAAATAGATAAGTTAATAAACTCAAATAAATCTATTAAATAGGTCCCAAAATGATACATAATGAAACTTAAACATACCAATTCGTTACGATGCGTCTCTTATCACAGAGACCTATCTCACTTCTTCTGGAAGGATTTTATGAAGTCATGGAATTAACAATGAATTATGAATGCTTGGTTTTTATTCTAAAATACTTACTTAGCAACAAGAGACATAAAACGATCATATGACATTGCAAGGAAAAAACAAATATATTATAATATAAATATATAAATGAACAATTTATTATGATTATTTATTTTATTTTATTTAATAAGTAATTATTACAAACAAATTAGCTTACTTGATCCTATGTGGCTAGGCCGAAGGCTTTTAAGCCATTACAATACCTACATCCTTTCGCGTTCTACAATCTTTCGAATTCTGGTATTCACCCCAAATTATTATAAATACAGCCATCATGAGCCCATTCACTGAAAACCTTTTCAGACTTTTTTTCATTTGATGTTCATGTTGAATGTTTAGAATTCCTTTCACGGGAGAACTGTTGAGAACATTTCGAAACGCTTTACTTGTATTTATATAATTTTTGAAAATTGAATAACGTATTTTCTCCTGTATTTCTAACGTGAAGTTACATCAAAACGTTTCGATGTCTTTAATATTTATATTGTTTGTTTTCAAAGAACAATGCAATGCATTATTTCACCCAGTAACCGTCCTCGACTAATGAAAAAAAGAGGTGCACGCAGCATTCATTACACTGACAGGGAAATTTTATAATTTTTTGCTGATAAGGGGGCAGCTGGGGCTGGCTGAATATTGAATCAATTATTTCTTGCCTGTGGACATTGAACACATGATTGAAGTGTTTTGTAATAACTTATACTTCATTTTAATAATTCATTTATTAATGTAATTTTATTTCTGTAAATTTAATTTTAGCTCTGAGGATGATCGCTACGCGATCGGAAATATCTTTAGCATAATCTATTTTTTGATACCAGACCTTTCATCTACCGTATTCAATTAAGTAGTTACGTAGAGCATTGAAATAACATCGATAAACGAGTAATTGAAATGAAAAGAGGTATGATTCGGGTCAGAGAGACCAATCAGCGTTTAGTCGAAGAGCCTCTAGTTCCGCAGTACCTCAAAATAGTGCATCTCCGCGGACGAATACTATGGGCGTTCCCGTGGCAAACGTCTGCGTCCGCGCCTTCAAGAGATACTGCCAAA